ACATGCTTTTACCATGAAATGATGTCAACTTTTACTCATTTTTGTCTGTAAATGATAATCCTTCCTGCTTGTGTGAATCATTATACACAACTATGGAAAGACTTTGTTTTTTTAAGTTGTTGCAATGCTTTGAAGATTGAGATATACAAACTACCTTGAAACTGAAAGTGATACTTCAGCAACTGGAAAGTATATCCACACACAAATCTGTTTTAGCATTTTTGTATGATTTATTCTGCTGTACAAAATTTTTCTTCCTTCCCTGCATAGCATAAACCAAAATACATTCTTTTCCTGTATTTGTTAAGACACCCAACTATACACGTTTCACTTATATATACTCAGTGAAGGTTGTGGATTTAAGGAGGCAAAGAAGTCAAAGGCAAATATACTTTTATCAAAATACATTTTACTTACAGGCACAGTTGAAAGAAGCCTTTGAAAATCATCTTTAGATACAGTTTGGCACTTGGTGATTAAGACACAAGATTCTCGTACAACGATCTTGAGAATGTAGTGCAACAGCTCATCATTTAGTCTTCAAAAAATGCAAGGAATATGTAAAATGTTAATAGTCTAATTATGCTGTATCTTATATAGCTCATCTCAAAACTCTGGGCAAGCTGTACCACAAATTATTTGTAACCACAACAAAGACCTGTGCAACTTCAGGCACACAGAAGAGCAAGCCCGAGATGCTTAACAACAATCAATGCAACAGATGAGCAGTGATTTCCTGCACTCTGCTGATATAAACCTATTAAATGTAGTGAATCCTAAAAAAACAAAAGCCCAAACAACTCCTCCCAACTTGACCTTGAGATTGACAGTTTCACTGCTGAGAAGTCTCCTACCACAGTGGTATGGAGAGCAATGGCATCATATCATACTTTGAATTACCATCTATATTTACTATACACGTGGTAAGTAGCAGGGCATCCAAAACTAAGTCTGTGTACAGAAGCATCCAAAGTTTCCTTTAAAACATCAAACCTCTCTCTCCCTTGTCCTAATGAAATTCTACCCAGTGTGGACAAAAAGACTGTATTTCAGGTCACACTGCCAGTAAAGTAACAACCAATTTCAGCAAAATTTTATGCAAGTTTACCTAAAGCAAATAACAGAAACAAACGTTACCAGTGGGGAGGGGGGAAACATATTGTTGCTTTTTACCTATAATGATCATCATCTTCACTTCCAAATCTGTTGTTCTGAAGCTGTTCAGCTAAATTAGTCAGGATAACGTCACGAAGCTGAGAGAGACCACTATTCCTCTCTCCTAAAATGGAAAGCAAAAAAACTTTTGCAGCAGCATTTTACAGCATTAATTTATTTGTATTTTCTCAGATATCTTCCTTAAGGTATGCTACTTCTCAGAAATTACAGTATTTGCAGTGTAACATGATTCCCTGTTGAATCACAGGCTGCTAAAACTTGCTGTGAGTAACACTACACTGCTAACTAGGTGCCCTAAAATACAACCTGGACAAGAAACATCACTAATAATGACACAAGAGAACTTTTAACCTTTTCAATTTCAAACATCTGCCTGAGTGAGACTGATTTTCCTTTTTTACAACTAGCATACACTTGACCACATAGCTTTCAGAAGGCAGCTTCAGAATTTGAAGCATTCCATCATTTCCTAGAATAAGATGGGATTACAGCAGACTAGTCCTCAATATTCTGAACTGTTCTCCCTTCAGAGGTTGAGAAGTATTTTCACTTTTGGTTTTCAACTAGAAAAAACACACTGCCATATGTCAATAAGGCATTCTCACCTTCAGTTAAGACCAATTTCAATAAATTATTGATTTCTGCTTCTCCAGGATACAGGATATTTAAACCAGAGCTAAAGAAAAAAATAAAACTATGTATTACTTAACACATTTAAAAGAGAACAAAATTTCAATGGACATGTGAAAAAATGGCATCACAGAATCTCAGCTTATTATCTGACATAACATTTAGAATCACTGTGTAATAGCTTCTTCCAACTTAAAAAGGCATCCTCCATATTTTAATACTTGTATTAGTCATGAACTAAGCAGCTGCTTTTTCCAGAAATCTCCTGTGATCAACTGTATTTTATTGTTCAGGTCAATAAGAACAATGGAAAATGCAAGGAACTAATCAAGATGTCACCACTGTCACAGTTTTATACTATTAAAGACTGACTCCTTACAGAAGTATGTCTTGAAGCTATGCAGAAGATTCTACAAGCAGCATTTGGGAAACAACACATCTCTGCATAAATACTTCTTGTGGAGGTATTTTTCCCTTCTAACTTGTCATGCACTTTGTCCTCTCTACATGAATTAGCACATCAAGACAGAAGATGACAATAACTGAGAAGGACTTTGTGACTGTCTGAAATGTGGAAATCATTATGCAGACTTTCTTTTTCCCTTTTCTTTTTAAGTAACACTCTCATAGAAAAGAAAACTGGTACGTTTTTCAGCTTCACACTGGGAGCAGAGATTATTGCAGCCTTCCTCCCTCTGGCTCATGCTGACCAACTTGTGATAGAAACATCAGAAGTTGCATTGCAAGCTAAGTTTCAGGTTTCCATTGGTATCAGAATCTCCCAGTAAGAAAACAGGAGGAAGGAGATATTATCTCATCCCCACCTTTGATTTTTTTTCTTCTTTTTACAGGTCATTAAAGAATAGAGGGTTAAACAAGGGGGAAATGAACAGCTGTCCATACAGTTGACAGGATAGAATTTTCCCTGTCAAAAAGCAACACCCTGAAAATGCCAGATGATCATGCTGAGGATATGCTATTCTTCACTCAGAGCTGCATAAAGCCACTGAAATTCGAAATGTTGCGATTCACACACACAAAAAAAACGCAGTTTGATCTTCAGAAGATTTTGTTCTTAACCTTGGGGCACTTCCCACTTGAAAGCAGATTGGTTTTGTACTTAGGACATTTGAGACAGCATTCCTTGTCCTTGAGATCCACATTATCTCCTTTTTGTGATAGGCAATCACACTTTTTGCTCACCTCCCTCTACTTAGTCATTCTGCTGTTTTGACAATCCAGAGAAAGGAAATTACACAGCATCAGGTTCAAGAGATGCAGCAGCTAATACAGTGTGGAGTTAAAGCAACCACCTGCTTTAAGTGTTTCATGACCTGGTGTACCAACCCAGGGACACAGGGACCTATTTTGGGAGAAGGGTGGGCATTGTTTTCTGAACAGAAACCTAACTTTCTCAAGACAGTCTCATTACACTGCCCATGTCTTCCCCTTCAGTCTTACAGCACTCCTCAAGTATTATTCAGCCTGCATCCCATTACATCCTTCTTGTTTAGGAGAATTTCAGTATTGTCACTTGAAACACTGGTATAACAGCTGACAGCAGCAGCTTTGCCTATTCCAGAACACCAATAAACTATATAAGGCTAAAATTGAAAATCATTTGAGTCATTGCTGGAATGCAGAAAACTCTCTTTGAATTTAGCAGCTATATTATAATTAAAAAAAAGCACAAAATAAACCTAAAGAAAGCAAATGAAAAGCAACAAATTAAAAGAAGTATGGAAGGTAGTTACTATTTGTTATCTCACTGTCATCATGACACATTGTATTTAGCTTCTTCCACAGATCTAAACTGTAATAATTTTATCATACTATGTCAACCTCAATTTTATATTAATTTAAAATTAAACTGCTGAATACAATTTGAACATTCATCTGTTACAACTTTTTAAAATAATCTACCATTTAAGTTAAGTTTTATTGGACAAAACAGATATTTACCTAATAGCTAGACAAACCTCCTTCTGAATTTCAGAGCAAATCTGATCCCTTGGTGCCATCAGCAACTGCCAAAGTAAGAGACCAGACCTTCTAACAATATCTCTGTTTCTTTCAGTTTGTGGGCTGAAGAAAAATTTAAAAACCACCTAAGAAAAATTAAACAACAGAATTAAAAACTTAGATACAGTTCATATTAACTCTTTCTGTATTCTGCTACTCAAACTATTTGTCTAGGTCACTGGAAATCCTAGAGTCAGAAACTGAACTTGGATTTTAAAAGAAGAGGGGAAAAAAATAGAAAAGAAGTAACCTCTCTGGATTTTATTTTAATCTGTGCAGGTGGCAACTACACTTCCAGTTAAATCAGGACACTTAAATGGATGTATAAGATACTGCAAAGCCATTGTTGAGTCAAGTTCCATTAAACTGAATGCAATAGAGGAAAAAAAAGAAACTAATAAAATCAAGTGGTTGTCTGCCTTTCAAAACAACAGGTTTTTTGGTAGGTACTTATTGTGAAGTACATTTAAGATGCTCTTTTACCTGAAAGACAACAAGGATGCAGCGTATTATACAAGTATCTCCATTCACCATTGCTTTTTCCATAATGTCACAAATACTGCTGAGGTGATGTGCTTCAATTGGATGCTGCTTGCCCAGAAAATTTGTTATGGGAAGACTGTTGCTGGCTGCAAGCAGGTTGAGTTGGTGGATACACATGGCACCAACATGGTGCAGTAACTGGTTAATAACCTCATTCGTGGTTGTTGCATCCCCTGGAAGAAGGAAAGGAGTTGAAATGCTACAAACACAGTCTATAGCTTCAGCTTTTGCTTCTAAAATCCAATATATCATCATCTCTAGCTTCAGGACAGCCACCTGCATGATAAACAAAAAAATTGCCCACATTGCTTTTTTAATGTGCTGAAGGTAGCAAGAATCTGGAAACTTCCAAACACTCCTTTAAGAAAGGAAAGAGCAAAAAGGACAAGGACCAATATCTATAAAAAGAAGCTGAGTTCACTCCTGAAAAACTAACAGGAACCTTCCAAAGGTAGATTCTGTGTATTTATTCTGCCATAGTCACACATTTCACCTCCAGTTTGTATCAAGTGCTGACCTGTAGGTTTACCTCACCTTTGGGCTCTGTAATGATGTGACTCACACCCAGTCTCTGGCAGACACAGTGGAATGCCTGGTTCCCAGGATTACACCACTGATCAATATAATCATTGGAGCATGTCCATATCATGTTATTCATAGTATCATAACAGGCACCTAAGAAAAGGAAAATATTTTGCACCTCAAATTTTAGAAAGTTTGTTAGAAAACACGATTGAAGTATTTTTATAGCAGACACAAATCCAAGTTACTTGCTTCAAAAGATCCCTGTCATGACAGCAATTTAGTAACAATGCTTTGGAATAAAAAACATTAAAGGAGATTTCTTAATGGAGGAAGTAAAAGTCATGTTGATATGGTGCTGAGGGACACAGTTTAGCAGTGGATGACAGCAGTTTAGTAACAATGCATTGGAATAAAAAACATTAAAGATTTCTTAATGGAGGAAGTAAAAGTCATGTTGATATGGTGCTGAGGGACACAGTTTAGCAGTGGACTTTACAGAAGAGTAAGGACCAACCATTAGGTTCATGGTTGGACTTGATGGTATTTAAGGTGTTTTCCAACCTAAATGATTCTAGGAATGAAGCCAATTCACAACCCTTTTGATGTTTCATGTGCAACAGCTCTGTCTCAGGTAAATTCTCCACTGCTCCTTATTTGCAACTGGAAGTACATAACATGTGTTATTCCTCCACAAACTTATCACACACTGCCACAGTGCATAACCTAAAACCAGCTGAATCTGGCATCAGAGCACAGTAACTTCTAGAAAAAGGAGAGGGGAAAAAAAATTCAAAGTTATTTTACTACAGCTACTGACAATTAAGCACCCTAGAACTTGTTTAGAAAGTCTTGTGTTAAAAATGTAATAGCTTTAATACAACTGAGAGTTTGCACAGTGCAACTGTTAAAAATTTTAAGCTTAGAGACTCATCTCCTGGAAAGCTTAAAGCCTACAAAGCAGGTCCAAACTAAAAAAGAAGGATGAGTGGATTAGAGACACAACTGTTTTAAAGTATAGTAAATTCCTCTACTGTACAAGATCAAAAATAACCTGTTTGTCTACAGGTTTCAAATGACTGAGGTAAATCTCCAGTAACAGCAGCTAACAGGTTGACATGTAATTATTTTTAACTTCTGGGATGCATTATTACTTAAGATTATTTATCTCAAACATTTTTAAGAAATATATTCTCTTAGCTAACATAAAACCAGTGCTTATTAAAATACTGGCAATGATATGCAGTGTTTAAGTAGCACAGACACTGGTCAAAAGATTATTATACCAAGTAAGTTAAAAATAATTTTAAAAAAACAGTCCTGAAGAAAATGCTCATGAAGTTTCAGTCATAAAGGGATAAAGAAATCAGAAATACCTACAATGTCATTCCAGCTAAGATGCATTTATGTACCTTCCAGTACAGAGATAAGATACTCAGAACTTTGTAGCACCTTACAGCATAAACAATTAAAAAAATACTTCTTTCAAGGTTCTTTTCTGCTACAGAAAACACCTTCCCTGAGCTTCTCTGCAGCTGAAACTACAAAAGTAAGATACTGGAAATTCCTTCAGGGAGTTCTGAACTTTTAAAAATGTTAAATTTACAAAAATTCCCCATAGACCTTAAACCCACCAACTGCAGAGCTTCTCACTGCAAATTCAAGTCCAGGCAGGTTATTTAGAATCCAAAGGTTGGATATATCTAGCTCTGAAATATTCCCAGAAAAAGAGATCTACTTCTTACCAAGTCCTGGAACTAAAGCACCACGTCCAAGTGAACTTCCTGCAGCATCAATGAGATCTGCTCTGCTTGTGAACTGCCCATCCGAAATATTGAACACCAAGCTCGAAGCAAGAACTACACAGAAACAAAGGCTCTGATCAATTTCTGAGAAGTTTCTTATATTTTGGAAAACCAAGGACTTCAAATCTGTCCTGAACGTAGCTGACTTACTTTTTAAAGATGACAAAGCACTTGTTCCTCCAAAAAGGGAGCGTGTTGCAGAACTGCCTGACCCACCTGGGGGTGGCACCAACATCACCAGGTATGTTCCACAGGTGTATATTGGAGTCTTCCTCAACATCTTCAGTGGCAGCCCACAGCTTGTGTTTGCCGCTGAAATAAAGAGAAATACAGAAATACAAACATACATTTCTTCATAACAGGCAGCAAATAAAGCAGATTTCTATGCAGGGCTTCAAATAAATCTATGGAATTTCCTTTAAGCTACATCCTGCAGCATTTAGAACTTGCTGTAAGAAGTTGTATACAGAGGTGGCTTCATAATCCCACACACTGACCACCAGCCCCCAGGATACAAACAAGTTTCACAGGTTATTTAACTAAAGAGAATAAAAACATTCTAAAAAGTCAGCAATGTCTCCTTGCCAAATCAGGGAAACTAGAAGCCTAAAATTTAAGTATAAACAAAACTGGTTTAAGATTTGTATGCTGAAACACACATGGAAAGCAGGATCTTAGAGCCAAATAATCTTTCAACGTAAAGACATCATTGAAAATTCACTATGCACTGACTATTTTAAGTTCTCCTGCACTGCATGAAATGTATCCAGTCAGAATGATCTAGCTCCTGCCACAGCTGATCAACACTTCTCTGAGCAGTGACTAAAGAATTATCCAAGAATAACCACTTCTGCTGTAGCACTCTAGTTGTTAACTGGCAAAACACAGCCTTTAAAATAGCTCTTCCAGCTTAACTCTCTGCCAGCTTCCCTGTAAACACATCTACTTCCTGTATAATTTATTTTTATGGAAATTATTTGACATTGAAGAAAGAAAAATCACATATGTATGGAGGAAGAAGACAAGTAATTCAAGATAACCTGAATAAAACCTTATCTTAAAATAAATCTAACAAAGCTCCAGATCATCCTGAAAGCCATCAGTGCTGTTCATTCAAGATTCCCTATTAACTTTGCTAGTTTCAGCAAGCCCATGAAAGAATACCCAAACCCTGTACAAATTACATCAAAAAAGGCAAAATTACCTTCAATTTGTAACACTGAATGTACCTGGGAAACAACAGTTTCATTTTCTAAACTGCAGTCCATTTTTTTTACATAATCAGAAGCTCAATGAACTGCCAGCAGAGAAATTCCCAGTTTGACCAAATGGGGCATAAACCAACCCACAACTGACAATAGGGGGAAAAAAGAGGGGCTACAAGTATTCTTCCTGCTTTTCACTCTGAAACTTTTCTCACAATCAATGCTTAATTTAGCAAAGGAACTTGTAAATCCAGCACTAAGCAAGTATTACACTTATATATTTCAAACACTTATTTGGAGGAAAAAAACTGCACTTTTTTTTCCCCCACCATGCCCTAAGAGGTTAATAATTACTAGAACTACATGTGTTACAACAACAGACCATGAAAAATATTACTGAGAGTCAGTAAATCCCCTCCTGACCTGCTTGGTCCTCTTTCAGTGTATTGGAGATGGTAGAGCCTGTGAGAGCAGCCAGTGTTGCTGATGGGGAGGCTCTATACCTGGACAGTCTGCTCAGGAGCATCTCGTTTATACTCTTGGCAGATTCACCCTCTTTTCTCATCAATATAATTCGTTCCTGTAGAGGATTTGCTATACATATGCCATTTTCTACCTATTAAAACAGAGAGGAAAAGAATACTTTTAGAGACTGAAACCCACAGGAGACAGATTGCCTTAGCTGAGCAGGAAAATTGAACAATACAATATATCAGGTAGGGATACAAACCTACATGCTGTGGTCAGAATTTCTTGCAAAAAAAAGGTGTTACAAGAGCTAGACAGATTAATATTTGTTTTGTTCACAACTTTGTGGTTCAATATATCTTCTATATGTATCTGCTATTCTGTCTGTCCTTAAAGACAGAACTGTTTTGTCATCATCTTAAGTTTATTTATGGAACTCTACATTATTTAATCCCTACAGGTTCTTAATGATGTTCCACTGACAAGTTTTCTAAGAAGAGGCCTTCAAACCATTTGCCAAAAAGTGTAAGCAATGATTTTCTTAGATCATAGTCTTCAGGGGATATGATATTAACTAATGCATCTCTTAATGAAGATCCAATTTACAGCCTTAGGTGTTTTCCAGAAGTTGTACTACTATGGGCTAGGTCTTCTAGCTCCACCACCCCACCAAGTGCAGCAACTGCTGAGCAGATACAGGCACTGCACCCAAAATACTCCACCAGTGCCAAATCCTTGCACCATTCCAATTATCAATACTAGAGGTCTATCTAGGAAGTGCTGTAAGCTGACAGGCCATTGAGAGAAACAGGTGTCCCAACTACTGACACATTTCTCTGGACAGTATGTAGAAATGCACTTTTTTTTACACTAAAACTAACAATTGTCACACAGCATAAAAGCATTTTAGGCTATAAAATGCAGCACAGGCAAAACCACTGTGTTTGTGACTTGCAGATCCTGATTGGCTTTCAACACAATGAAGCAGATCCACAGCAAACAATGCTTTAAAATCCTAAATGACCGTCCCAGTATAAAACTTAATTGCTAATTATAATAAAATATGTTTTATGTTACAAGGCAATTCATCCTGCTGGAGTATGGTAGTTGTATGTCCTCTGAAGATAGAGCTGAACAATACACCTTCTGTTCAGCTAAAAGCAATTCCATAAACACATTACAAACAGCTATTCAGATTACACGTATCCATACTCAAACTTAATATCTTGATTTGAAAATGCTGATATTTTGTTAGGCAGTAGTTACACTACCAAATCCAGAGTCAAAGAAAAAAAAATGTAATTTGCTTACTATAAGTTCAAAAATATCCATAAAGACAGAGTGGCCTTTTGGTGTTTTCTCATTGAGGCTTGCAGGAGACCAAATCCAGTAGAAATATGTACCATCTGAAGAAAGATGCACCGTGGTCATAGTACTGCCAACTGGGAAGTGATTTACTGGCATTGGGATTATTTGACATACCTACAAGAAGGAAAGCATCTTAACAGTTCTTATTTTGAAGTCTGTTCTTATGAGCATTAACAGTGTACTTAAAAATAAATAAACAAAAAAAGACCAAGTGCAGTTAGTCCATAAGAGGCTTAATATTGGACCTAATAGTACTACAACATTTCTCTGTTACGAAGAGCTGTTCTGTAAGGTTTGCCAAATGGAGCTACTGTGTACAAAATAGCTTAGATATCTAAACATTTAACATATCCAGAAATAAAAGGATCATTTCCTCTCTAATCACTAAGGGCATACCCACAGCACCATAAAGAAGCTTGCTAAAGAGTTATCTACTTTCTGCAGCTTCTCTGAAACATCCCTTTAACCTCTGGAAGAAAAGGGGATTCCAAATATTCTCAGTTTCAGGAAACACTGGACCTAAATGTGTGTATCCATCCTTAAAACCACAGCAGGAAAAAAAAGTCAAAGTAAATAAACTATCCTTTTTTTTTTTTTTTTTTTACAAAGGATGACAGTTGTTTATCTACAAAACACAATTAGATCAGAAACAACACCTGAATTTTGTTACAGTAGAAGAATAATGAGCTGTTCAGGGTGACTGTATTTTCCATTGAAGTCAAAGTCCATTTTGCCATTGTTTGATTCTTTTATAACATCTCCATGCTACATTCTAGCTCTTACAAAACTACTGTAATATAGTACAGCATGTCTGCAGATGCATATATATGTGTATATAAACATGCACACATATACATGCCACACTGATTCATGGAAACAGTAATACCTACAACATAACTCACATTCCATCACACAATGCTTTCAACAACTGATTATAAAAGGCAGTTTCACAAAGTAAAAAGAAGAAGCTTCAAAGATAAAACTAATTCAAGCTAGAAATGACTGCGATTAATTAAGAATGTCTTCTTACACTCCTCTAACTCTGCCATGAGCTGCTCTTTTACCTGAAGGGTATGCTGATCCACAACCTGGAAAAGGGAGTGAGGCTTATTATCAAAGGAGACAGGCCGATGAAGAAGTTTGCTGTTGCCAAAAGCAACCCACCCAGCCTCCAGCTCCTCGTTACGGCAGTACACAAAACCTCTGGCAAAAAAAAAAGCAGTACATTAAAATAATCTTTACAACCCTGTGCTCATTTTATGTTTTTTCTAAGAACATCTCACAACCACAGTTTTGAACTTTGACTGAACCTAAATTCAAATCAGTGCAAAGCAGGAATTTCTACTGTAAAAGACTTGGAGCATGTGAAGCCTGATGACTCTCAGGCAATAAAGAAGGAAGAAGCTACAGTGAGTGAGTCACATCCCCACTAATCATTTATATAATGAATGACATAATTAGAAAACACACACAAATTCAGCAATTGTACAACTATAAATTAAATGGCCACAAAATGAGTCTATAGTATATCCTTCTTGGCAAAGAGTGAACTGACTTACTAGGTATTAAAGTGAAATACAATCTAAAATAGTAGCTATTCTGTTAGTGCACCTCTTTGCAGGAGGTTGGACTGAACAGCCTCCAAAGGTCCCTTCCAGCCTAAATTATTCTACAGTTCTAGAGAAACCATCCGCGGGGAGAATTTCAGATCAGAAACCCAAAACATTGAAATATCATTTAATGAAAACACAAAATATGCTCTAGTGTTGTTTAACCTAACATCTGAGAGAGGTTTACCAAAACAATAACTTTAAAATGAACAAACCAACCAGATCTGCAGAACAGCAAGTGCTCAGCTGTCACTTACCGCAGAGTACCATGCAATCCAGAGCCTAATTTGCTGATTCCTCTGCCCACTGAATTAGTTGTATAAAGATAGAGCCCATCTGCTGCAAGACAGCGCCCTAAGTCTGCATCTGAATTGGGAAGAGGGAACAAAGCAGAGACCTCCTCTGTAAGACACCACACTGGAAATTCTCCACGGTCATCACACTTCTGCTGTAGCTACCCCAGCAACTGGAACCCGACAGATGCTCCTGACAGGTCCTCACCGGAGGGTCAGACCCATTTTTTGAGTACTGAATTTATTATTGGGTGTTTTAAGAGCTACTGTAATACAGACAAAGTCCATTCTTCTTAGTTTCTTTACAATTTTTTCAAGCCCAGGTTACACATCACTCACTCACACAAACACCAGGGCTATTTACATCTCCTGCTGTTGCCAAGTGCTCCTAAGAATTAGGTGCTGGTCACTCAGCTTCTCTTTTGAGATAATAAGTGACATTAGCAGTGTTTTTTTTCATTATTCAAATGTACATCATGAATTTCTGAGCAGGTTCTTTTTTCCTGTGTTGTGTTCTCATTTCAGCCTTAAAAAGCTGGGTTTGAGTATTAATGCCCAAGCTGCTGTTATAAGTAAGTGAACTTGCTTTTTCTGCACACTATTCAAAACTATGTAGGAGGAACTAGACTAGCATGCTTCCCAAACATGCTTAGGAACACAGGACTACTCAACCAAACTCAGCTCAAGTGGAAAATCCTTTTACTTGAATACAAAACAACTGGAGTATTTGCTATTAAATGCCTCCAGAATGATGCAGAAGAGCAGAAGACCATTCTCTTCCACTTCTGCAACAGGTAGTCCTGTTCAGAACTCAGAACTGGCCACAAGATAGACTACAAGCAAGCTTTATGACTCTGCAAGCCCTTCTGCTCAGGACCACTGGGGTAACACACTCCTTGTGAGGAAGGAAAAATCTAATCCTGGGCCCTGATCTGATTTCTGGTACAGCTCTGTGCTTCTCTTAAAGCTCCTAAGCAAACTCTTACACCTCTGAACACTGTTAAATTAAGAAAAAATGTATTTGAAACCAGCTTTGTCACTCAAAGTTGTAACTATTAACAGCCAGGATGGGACACAAAAGGCAAAGCCTTGTAACAGAGATGGCAACAAACCCATCCAGTCAACCAAATTTCACAGAATCTGGACAGTTGTCTAAGGAAACAAAAAAACCCAAAGTCTAGTCATTTTAATAGCAAGAAAAACTCTTTGAAATGTAGAGGTCTTCAGTAAGCTTGCAGATAGCCTAATATGACAACTCACATTTGTAAATTCCTATGGCTTGCATTAAACTTAATGAGATGTCATCAAAGCTTGAATTAATAGGTCTAAAGCAATGGGAACTCTTTGTGCAAAAATAGTAAGCAAACAAAGCAGTAAAAACTGAGAAATAATTCAGGGGAAAAAAAATACAAAACAAAGCCTAAAAAAAGAATATAGGAAACAGACTGGACAGAAACAAAGGCAGAATAGGGAAAGAAAAAAAAAAAGGCAAG